GCATAAAAATCTAATAATAACTGTTTCTATTTTACAAAAGAAACAGAACATTATCAGAATAATGTAAAACAGACATGCATAAAACTTATGTAAAATGGTGTTCACAACCATAAAATCAGAAAATTATTGAGGTAAGAGATAAGATGTATATATATATATATATATATATATATATATATATATATATATATATATATATATATATATATATATATATATATATATACAGTTATTTATATGAATTTTGTTGTCATTTTTAAAAACTTACCAAATGATGTTTAACAGAGCAAGGAAATTTTCACAGTATGTCTGATAATATTTTTTCTTCTGAAGAAAGTTTTATTTGTTTTATTTTAGCAGGAATAAAAGCATTTTTCAGTTTTTAAAAAAAATTTTAAGGTCAAAATTATTAGCTCCTTTAAGCTGTATATTATTTTGATAGCCTACAGAACAAACCATCGTTATACAATAACTTGCCTAATTACCCTAACCTGCCTATTATTAGACCCCCTGTTTATTTTACCCAAATTTCTGTTTAACGAAGAGAAGATTTTTGCAACACATTTCTAAAAATAATACTTTAATTACTAATTTCCAATAACTGATTTGTTTTATCTTTGCCATGATGACAGTAAATAGTATTTTACTAGATATTTTCCAACAAAGACTTTTAGGCACAACAGGCATGCATGGCTGATCAGAGCTCTGAATGAAGGCATGGACCTGCTGTAGCAACAGATGCAAAATCTTAACACAAACACTGTTTCCACTGGCATGAATAAAGAAACAAAATAAAGGGTTCAAACCGTGTGCTTTTTATAGGGTCATTTTAATCATCAGAACCCACATGCTTAATCAACTTGAATAAATCTAAATAAATCTTATGTTGATGAAAGGTGCATGTGACTAAAGAGCAAATGATCTGATAACACATGCAGTTAGAATTTTGGCCAAAAGGTCAGAGGTTCAGCTTAGCACAACAGTTTAAAGCTCCTTATGCAAATGATAAATTCCCACTTTACACAGTCATTAGTTTGGCGGAGACCACAGTAATGTGATGCAGGTCACCCATGACAATGTGACAAATTGCTACCCATGTGTTTTTAGGCCAATTGACCTACTCTTCATGTGCTGTTGCTGGGCAACGGTATGGGAGATCATTTTGTCCAAAATATTTTATGTGTGTAAAATTGCCACCTCATAAATTACTAGCCCCTTTTACACCGTAGTACCAGTGAAATTATTATCGGATCAACTTTACAGGTAAATTTAAAAAAGCGCTGTTCACACAGGGAATGACGTTCCAGAATTTTTCCGGAAAAGACCATTCACACATCCATTTTAAAATACCGGTAAATTCTGACATCATCAATGAGAAGTGATCTCTATATGGCTGCGTTTGTATTTGTACATCTAAAATTGGTCAGGCTTTTGTTGATTATTTCATTTTATTTAAAGCTTTATTGTTCATGCAGTTGCTTTGTCCCAGAGACATCCATAGGCAGAAGTGCAAACTACAGCTAAATGTTTAGCCATTTGACTACACTACAAATTCTGTGGATAAGTATTGTGAACAACTTCGATGATGAATGGAGGAACACTTTAGCATGTCAAGATGTACATAATATGTGTGTGTGCTGGAACTCACCGAAGCACTTCTTCAAGTGCACAAGGGTCAAGCAACTAAAGCAGCTTGAGGGTAAACAAACAGCGGTTTGTCACAAGCATTATATTGCAAATTTTTTACATAGTCGGCATTAAGAAGGAACATAGAAATGTTATCTGACTAACATCTAGCAGCTGAATGTGTCTGGAAAAATATTCAAAGGCTTTTATTTTCATAAATAGTGTGGGTGTGAACAAGATGTCCTTGCTGCAGCTCGCAGCTTGATGACATAGGCAATTGTCAACTATGTAGCAGACCTTGTTCCGCCCACTAAGGTAACGCCCATGCTACTGTGATGGATAGGTTTATGGTAGGGGGAGGTGTAGGCAATCATCAACTATGTAGCAGAAATTGTAACGCCCATACTACTGTGACGGTTGGGTTTAGGGTAGGGAGAGGTGTAGGCGATCGTCAACTATGTAACTGACCTTTACCGCCCACTTAGGTAACGCCCATGCTACTGTGACGGTTGGGTTTAGGATAGGGAGAGGTGTAGGCGATCGTCAACTATGTAACAGACCTTGTACCGCCCACTAAGGTAACGTCAATGCTACTGTGACAGTTTGGTTTAGGGTAGGGGGAGGTGTAGGCGATCGTCAACTATGTAACGAACCTGGTCAACTACGTCATCAAGCTGCAGGCTGCAGCGAGGACTGACTCGATGTGAATGCGTCTGAGTGTACTGGTTGTCTGGAATGGACGTTTCATGACAGCACGTTCTAATCGAGAATGCACTCTTTCCAGCAATTTTTCTTCTGTGTTCACACAGCACAGCATTCCGGTAAATTACCTTAAACATTTCTTTACGGAAAATTGCAGGGAACAAATTTACCGGTATTTTCAAATAGAGCCTGTTCACACATGATACATGATATAGGGTCTGTATGTGTTAAGGGGCTATAATGTCACATAAACATGTACAGCTGCCTGGGCTTATATTCTTAAAAGTGCATGTTCATTCATTTATTAATTTTCCTTTTGGCTCAGTCCATTTATTAATCTGGGGTTGCCACAGTGGAATGAACCACCAACTTATCCAACATATGTTTTACGCAGTGGATGCCCTTCAACTCTAACCCACCACTGGGAAACATTTAAACACACTCATACACGACAGGCAATTTAGCCTACCCAATTCACCTATACCACACCTATACCATACATCTTTGGACTTGTGGGGTAAACTGGAGCACCCAGAGAAAGCCCACATGAACATGGGGTGAACAAGCAAGTTCCACACAGAAATGCCAACCGACGCAGCCGAGGCTCGAACCAGCGACCTTCATGCTGTGAGGCAAACTTGCTACCCGCTGTGCCACTGTGCTGCCCTCAAGAGCATATTAAAAAGACAAATCAACAAATGACACCTAAACTTCATTTATGTCACTGCAAGTTTATCCAAAATAACATATATTTCATGCAGGATGTAAGGCTTTACTAATGCCAAAATAAACCACTAAAATTAAACGACAAATGGGTCTTTACAATTTATAATTCTTTGTGAAATTGAAATGTCAAATTACACAGATAGGTTATAATAAAAACCCTGAATTAAATAAATGACTGAATAATAGCACTAATTTTGATATCTTTAAGATTTGCATTTGCTCTTTCAAAAGAAAATATGGCAGAAGCTGACATCTCTATGCATGTAAAATAAGCTTACTATTGTAGATCTCACTATTGCTTTGGTTTTTACAGAAATATGATTGCATTAAAAGAGATGACTGACAAAACCATGATATGATGCACAACAGACCCTGAGCAACACTGACAAATATAATGTCTTGTAAAATGTGTGCTCAATATAGGCCAATCTTCTTTTTTTTTTCTCAAACAGGCTAAATAGATTTGTATTAATGGGTAGAATATTTGATGGGTTTAAAACTTTGGGAAACTTAAAATAATATGGTTAATTCAAATAAAGTGGTTTTTGCTACAGATCTGCTACAAATGATCCATATAAGTGAAAACAAAATAAATTTTAACACTGCTTTAATATTCATTATGGAAATAATATTAGGCTTGGCATTTTAACATGGCTTTTACATTAGTTCATGGTGTTTCTTCTAATTACTTTCTCTTTGTATTCCATAGCCAACAGACATCTGTAATATTAATAGGGAAAGACTGTTTTAATATTCGACAGCTGAACTTTGGGGAGAATAATGGTGCTTGAGAATTGTACCCAGTTATGTAAAACAATTCTCTGAGTGCTTAAATTAAGTCACTGCCATTATTTGCACAAATCATCGTGGGATTTAAAAAACGTGAATACGCTTAAGTACACTGCAAATTTGAAAATGAAAGTAAAAAGCGAACATGAATTCAAAATGTAACTCTACCTGGCATGTTTAAAACTACTTCCTGATGTGTTCGTACATACATTATTATAATATATTACTCTTGTTTAAATGATGATGGGGCAGCCATAATTCAAAATCTACAGTTACAACCTAAATTTTCTACTGATTTATGTTATATATATTTAAAGCAATGGTTCACCCCAAAATAAACTTTCTCTCACCATTGATCACCCTTAACTTGTTTCTAACTTTTATGAGATCCTTTCTTCTACTAAACACAAAAGAAGATATTTTGAAGAGAGTTGGAGAACTTATTATAGTTAGATTTCCCTACAACGGAAGTTTCTTTTGAATACCTTTTTTGTGTGTGTGTTCGACAGAAGAAAGAAACTCATGAAGGTTTGGAAACACTTGGTGAGTAAATATTGATTAAATTTTAACTTTTGGGTCAACTAACCACTTAAAGGCTCGTCCCTATAGATCAAGAGCACAGAATACAGCGCCCTGCTGTCTAAGATGTGCATTACAGTTCGTTGAACCAAATCGTCCATATTTTTAGATTTTTCAATAACCTCGGAAAAATGTCTAATTTATCACATTTACAAGTATCAAATTCAATTCAAATATTCACAATAAAATGGCAATAAAATGAAGAAAATCAACATTTTTTTAATTGTCTTAATTTAAGTAGGCCTACCATTTGAATTAAATAGTTCTTAAACCTAATGCACATAAAAATATCGTAGGGTGACATTTAGAGGTGAAGACTCAATTACAGGTAGATCCTATAAGAACAATTTTTTATGCATTTTTGTTTAAAATGTTTTTAAGTTTATGCACAATTTATGCCTTTTTTTGTTGCTTTGTTTTGTTTAAAAAAACAAAAAAATTAACATACGACCACAAAACAATAGAAAGAAAGTCAGTTAAATGAACAGGCAAGAAGGTTTAGACATTCAGTTAAATGAACATGTCAAAGGTTTAGACATTCTGCCTACTGTAATGATATAGCTCATATGTGTACTCACCATTCACACACAGCGCAATAATGTGAAGAAGCAGGACGCTGGACAGCACCATCGACTCCCAACCTGCTGAAAACAACGTGCGCCTAGAGTTCATCATGACACTAACTGTCTTTAAAAACACTTAAACTAAACCAGCTCAATCTTCTGTTAAAGGTAAAGTCATACGGCAGATATTGAGAAGAATCTAGGCAATAATCCTGAACAGATATCTCCTAAAAATCGAAGGCGTAACGAAGCGCGCGGTGTCCTGCCAACTTCGGATGTTGTCTTCAGATGTTATTCCTCTTTGGTCGAGATTCAGACCACCTTATGCGTCGCTAGGGATCCGTCATCTCTTATCCAACTTCAAGAAGATGCTAAGACGGTTACATGTGTCTTATTTGTAGTCAGTATTAAGAGTCCGCTTAGAAGCGGAGAGATTCGGTACTATTTGCACAACACCATGGACTGCGGTATCTCGGTCGCACAATTCGCGCGCACTGCCCACAACTAGTTTTATGTGCCAGTCGAACTCACGGTTCATGTAAAGTCATCTGCGCATGCGCCTCGTTACTGACTGAATATTTGTCGTGTGTGACAAACATTGAAAAAGTCAATCATCGGGGTTGGTATCTTTTATTTACTGTCCCTCAATGCAGAGATATTCACTTTAAACCTAATATAGAAACAGAAACATTTTCATTATAAATAACTTCTTGTAACCTCTTTGGATGAGATACAAAACATCTTGCAGGCAGTTCATCCAAACAAAGCGTCCAAAATTGGGTCACCCACAGAAGCCAGTACCCACATAAGGGCTTTGTTTATTTGTCTTGAAGTAAGATGGAACCGTACTAGACAGTAACAGTTGCTTCTGAATGAGTATTTAAATAAACGTTTCATATGTTTTATTAACCCATTCTGTCTGGTTCCAAAAATGTCTTTAATATTCATCAGCTGAATCCCATAATTTTATATATCTCTTTTTTATTCAGAGATTTATTTCCCTCAAACATAGATGGAAAGAATTCAGTGTTTTAATTAAATGTCTTCGAATAACTGAAGAAGGCTTAAAAAAGTAAAAGTGTAAGCTATTAATCCTGCATATTTATTTCTAGCAAAACGTAAATATTACTCTTAAAAGGTTCCAAAGAAACGATACATTTACCCTGCATTTGTTGGCTTCTAATTCTGAGTAAGACCAAATATATTTTACCACATTTTAGACACTACTATAAATGTTATCCGTACATACCACATTCCAAAATGACCCGAATATAACAATTTTTAAACATCAAACGTTACATCTGATTAAAATAATAACTGTAATAAAATGATAATAAATCACATGATGTTGATAATAATATTAATAACAATAAATATCACAATTTGGGAAATTTCATTTCAAAAGTTTTGTTACCCTAAATAAAACTATGTACAGTTGAAGTCAGAATTATTAGCCCCCCTGAATTATTAGACCCCCTGTTTATTTTTTTCTCTAATTTCTGTTTAACGGAGAGAAGATTTTTTTTTAAACACATATCTAAACATAATAGTTTTATTAACTTATTTCTAATAACTGATTTATTTTGTTTTCGCCATGATAACTGCAAATCATATTTGACTTAATTTTTAAAGACACTTCTATACAGCTTAAAGTGACATTTAAAGGCTTGACTAGATTAATTTGGTTAACCATGCAGGTTAGGGTAATTAGGCAAGTTATTGTATATCGATGCTTTGTTCTGTAGACTATTGAAAAAATATATAGCTTAAAGGGGCTAATAATTTTGACCTTAAAATGTTTTTTCTAAAAAAATAAAAAACTACTTTTATTCTAGCCAAAATAAAACAGACTTTCTCTGAAAGAAAAAATTATATTGTAGATACTGTGAAAATGCCCTTGCTCTGTTAAACATCATTTGTAAAATATTTAAAAAAGAAAAAAAAAATTCAAAGAGGGCTAATAATTCTGACTTCAACTGCATGTGCTGGTTTCATTAATAATTAAGCTTTGATGTTAATGATATTCAAGTTTATTAAAGTAAAACAAATTTTAATACACTCACAGTCACTTTAATAGGTACACCTGTCCAACTGCTCGTTAATGCTAATTTCTTAGCAGCCAATCACATGGCAGCAACTGCAGCCGCAATTCAAACTGAGCATCAGAATGAGGAAGAAAGGTGATTTAAGTGACTTTGAATGTGGTACGGTTGTTGGTGCCAGACGGGCTAGGAACTTCACGCACAACCATCTCTCGGGTTTACAGAGAATAGTACGAAAAATAGAAAATATTCAGCATCAACAACATGAAAGAATGGATCCATCCTGCCTTGTATCAACAGTTCAGGCTGCTGGTGGTGTAATGGTGTGGGAGAAATTTTCTTGGCATACTTTGGACCCATTATTACCACTTGAGCATTGTGTCAATGCCACAGCCTACTTGAGTATGGTTGCTGACCATGTCCATCCCTTTAGTGTAAACATCTTCTGATGGCTTCTTCCAGCAGGATAACGCTCCATGTCATAAAGCGCAAATCATCTCAGCCTGGTTTCTTGAACATGGCAATGAGTTTACAGTACTCAAATAATTAATAAATTGACAAATCTGCAGCAACTGCATGATGCTATTATGTCAAAAAGGAGCAAAATCTCTGAGGAATATTTCCAGCACCTTATTGAATTTATGCCATGAAGGATTAAAGCAGTTCCAAAGGAAAAAGGGGGTCCAATCTGGTACTAGTAAGGTATACCTAAAAAATGTTCGGTATTTATTCATCACTTTTTTTTTCATTTCTGTAACTAAAATACACACTTAACATTGTTGTTATTTGCCAAAGTTATATTTTTTATCTACTACTTACATTTTTTAGAAACTTATGCATTTAAAAAGCCAAAGTTTATATTAAGAAATTTAAAGGAACAGTTCCTCATACAATAATGATTATTCACTTATCATGTAGCTCCAAACTTATGACACTTTCTCAGAACAAAGCAAATTAAAGCTGCCCATTAAAAATCTCTCTCTGCAGCTCATCGCTTTCAAATCATTTTATGAGCTCCACAGCTCCCATGTCCATTTATTCACAAGTATGAAAAAGAGCTTTTTAAAAAACTCTCCACAACCTTGTGCGCCAGATTGACCTGCGATCTAAGAGTTTCTTTTTAAAAATTAAAGCTGCTAAAAATACATCTGGGACAGATGAAGGGACGGTGCAGCTCTGATTCCTTCATAGTCAATAGCAGTGGACTGCAGCAAAATCGTCAGATAGATTACTGCTACTGATTAAATGTTTAAACGTGTCAGAGAATAAGCTTCTAAACAAAAATACGATACAGCAAACCTTCTAAAAACAGACAAGCTCACTCAAGGAGATATAACATAAAAGATTTATTCAGCCACAAAATGTTTTAGGATTTGGTGGCAATACAAAACAGATCTACAAACATTAAGTACAGACAGATATGGCGATGTAAAAGCCATGAATGCTTAAAAAATATTAAATATGCACAGAACAACAGTAACTGTAGAGGTGAACATGGGTCACTTGTACATGAGGTGACTAAATCCTTCATGTGATCTTGCTGAGCTTGGATTTTAAGGCGGTGAAGACCTAACCCTCGGTGAGGACGGCTGAGTTCAGACAGAAAATGAAAAGCAGCTGCATTCAACAGTTTCTGAGCACAGTATTTAAATGGGGACGTGTGTTATTCACACATGCCATTGGGCGCTCCAGGGTGTCGAGTGGCCATCATCTGTCCAGTGCTGCCCACTGGACGACCTGAGGGATGGACACAAAAATCACAATATTACCACTGCATTTTACATACTTTTTATCATTTGAGACATACAAGTTATATACTACAATCGGAGTGAGTATTTTTATAGTTTGAGTTTCACTTTATGCAGTATACATTTACTATTTATAATTATTGTTATGAATTTTGAATCCATTAAGTCTTGTAGTTCAGAAAGCCTCAAATGAGTCATTTTACTTGTTTGAATAAATAGTTTATTGCATAAATTTAACCACAAGCTTAATTTTCAGTGTTCTATGAGCTCTTTCTTAGTAAAAACAGCATATTTGCGCTGATTTGTTTTTTGAATGTTTAAGGCTATGTTAGTTTCTATGGCTGTTTTCATGGTGAGAAAATGTACACAGCAGTTAGATTATATGAAGGGTTTTACAATTCATTTTTTCAAAAAATTCTAAAATTGAATTTGGTTTAACGGTGTTAAAAATGACTAAAATACTCAACACATTTCTCACAGAATTGATTAACACAAACCCTAATGATGCACTGTATTCAAAGATCAAACATATGACTTCCTCAATGAACCATACATTATGCTTTAACAATGCTTTTGTGAGCATACAATTGTCTTATAGACATATGAAAGTACAGACATTTCTGCACCCTATTTTGTCTTTGCTAAACATTTTAGATTGGGGTAATCAAATTCAGTCCTGCACAGTTTAGCACACACCTGAACAAGCTAATCAAGGTATATTTGTAACGTTCATACAGGTGTGTTAAGGCAAGTTAATCTTTATAGGATACCGGCTCATCAGGATTAAGTTTAGTGACCCTGCTTTAGAATAATCATGATATTAAAACGTGATATTTTTTTTTATTCTTCATAAAGTTAAATTTATTATTCAGTTTGAATGCAAAAAATGTTTTCTTTCACTATTTTGAGAGGTTCTGCATCCATATTTCTTGATCAAAATGATGAAATGAAAAAAACTGCATGAATACCATTTTTGAACAAATTAAACCATTTGATACTGACCAGGATTCAATTTGGTTAATTCCCAGTACAATTTTCTGCTCAATTCTTTACATTAATGGGCCTATGTAGCAGATTGCTTTTGTGATGCTATTGATTTTGATAATAAATATAGTAACTGATAAAAAGATTCCTTGAGGTGCTCCTAGTTCTTGTTTGTGTATTAACAACGTTAAAGTATAATGTCCGATAAAAGCTGCAGATAAAAATCTGTAAACTCCTTCAAAAATTCCAGCCTATTTCTGAGATTTGGTCTCCTAAACGCATCTTTATTTTAAAATCTTATGTTTTATTAATACATACAACTGATATGAAAAAAATACAGGGTAGTATCGACACGAGCAATTTTTGCACTGCAAAGAAAAAAAAGAAAAGAAAAATAATGTATTTAAACAGCCCAAACATGAATATATTTTTCACTGGAAAACATGTTACAAGCTTATGGTTTTAAATTGGAGACTAAAAATTATTAAATAAAAATTGGCATATTTGGTTTTCGAGAGAAAAAGAGAAAAATGGGCAAAATGTGAGTAGCATTAAGTGTGCTGGTTTCACTCTCCCTCTACCTACTGTCACTGCAAAGTGTAACGTGACTTTTACACCAGACATGGAAGGAGCTGCCCTATAAAGCCTATTCATTTCAATGGCGTGCGCAATGCAGCACAACTAAACAGCAAGAGCAGAACCACAGTTCAAAATTCTATCCACTCTGTTGATATTCTGCTTATGTACGCCTACTTATCTAAGCATGAACTGCACAGGAGTCACCAAAAAAAGCAAAGCCTCAAATAACGTGCCGACAGGACATTTCTATGTATTATACTTGTTTATGCTACTTGTAGTAGGCTACTGTGCTGTCATGGGAATGCTGGTAAAATCATGCCTCTCTACTCATTCACTGTCAGTCATATTCTACAGTCATTAAATGTGGTTATTAGACAGTATAATTTTAATTATTGAGTTAAAATTATAAAGTGCTAAATTCATTTAAATTAATTTGACTAAATATTCTAGTAGACACAATAGATCCAATCTCTTGGCCATGATATACTATTTGCATACATGACTATAGACCATTTCAATGTGGTCCTGTCATTGACCCACGAACATTTCCTGCTTGTTATCAAGCTATTTCATGACTATAACAAGATACAATTCAATCATCACTTAATGTTAAAACAGCTATCATAACGTTATTTATCAATATGTGGCTCTTTATGGATTCTCTAAACCTAAAGAAATTAAAAATGTAAAACTGAAAATACATTGGTACCATTGTGTTTGTTTATATCCCTCAAAATGGTCTATATCATATTTATAAATATAGTACCTCAATGTTTAACCACAGTGCCAAAGAGAAAAGGTAAAAATGGTCGTAAATCAAAACAAACTGCTTAACTGCACCTACACAACCATGTTATTATCAATATTAACCTTTATCAAGTGCTGTTTACATCGATTGATGGTTTAAATCAGGTGAAAAAAATTATTGCACCCGGCCAGGTCCTGCTGAATGACAACATTTTTTGATTTTTCTATTTTTTTTTTTTAAAAGCTGATTTTTTTACTTTATTGAAATACTGTATGAGATCATACTGTAGACTGGTGTGACTCAAACTAGGGTTGAGCAAAGTGCAATATGCCCACAGCATTAAAAGTTGTACATCTGGTTTGGTGAAATTCGGTTCCAGCCTCTAAATGAGCCAGTTTGAGCCAGTTGTACATTAAGGTAGCGTTCAGAAAAAAACAAAACAGCAGCGAAGAAACTCGACACAGAGGAACAAAAACACCTCACTGCCATCTAGAGTGTCGGAAGTGTACCAGAAACATTCACGCAGATCACTCGACGCAGATGTATAAACCAGGCTTTAGTCTTACACCTGTAGCCAAAGCTTCTTTGAATGTGTTCTGTTCCTCCAGATAAACCAGGTAAAGCATCATAGGGTGTAGGACCAAGGTGTATATTTGTAGTCGATACTTTTTGCAGTTGCTTTATCGTCATGAATACCATTAATTGTCAAAGACTGACCGTGGAGTGACTAGAAGACAATTTATAATGCTTTATTGCAAATGTTTACTGTGGTTGATTTGCCTATTTTAAATTACTTATGAATAGGGGTGTAACGATTCACAGAATTTGGTAACATTGCGCTCATATAATTATATAATTATTTTTATATAATAAAACTCAATCAAAAAGTGTGCTGCTTTAAGTCAGTGGACAGACACCCGAAGCATGTTCTTATGTTTTCTTCTGCAATTATGACAGTGTGATGACTTCTTTTCCAGTTAATACAATGTGTGAGTGCACATAAACTGTACCTTGGTGAAGAGGGTTGAATGTAGGGCTGCTCTGAGAGCCTCCAGTTTGCTGCTGCGGCTGCTGTTGTTCCACATTCTGTCGCACTTTCTGCTCTGCATATTTCACCTGCTCCAGGTGGAAGGTCTGCCTCTCAGAGAGTAACTGCTGTCTTTGCTGCTCAAGCTACAAGAGACAGAAATCAAATTACATTTAAATACACTGAAAATGCAGTTAACAGTCAACAAGATCTTTCATAACTTAAATAATTAGGAATTTGAGTAAATAAAAGGTGTGTAACAATACACCAGTGCTATGGTTAAGTTGATGTTATGTTTTTCATCATATAAATTAGTTTAGTTTAAACTTTTGTCTGTTCTGATTTGCACAGAAAGGAAATTTGTCTTTAACACTGGATTTAAGACAACAACTATATACACACAACAATCACACAATAGCAGCACTCATCAAGACAACAACCCAAGTTAAAAATTTAAAATAAAATTAGCCCCATACATATTACTGCAGACCACAGACCATTCTTGACAATCATCCTATTCACTTCAAACAGTGAACCGATTTAAGACAACAACTGCAATGAAGATAAATGAATTTTATCAGCATTTAGGAAATCTAAATCTGCGTCTTGATCGTAACATTTCGAAAGCTAAGTGAAGGGCATGTGTATTATCTCTAAAAATCACAATTGCTGTTTTTTCCATAAAGGAATCCAATAGAATCAGCAGCGAATGCTGTTTGTGACCAGTTATCTTATTTGCCTGATTGATCATTAGCAATAATTTCTTCTTCTGTTTAAGTGTTGTGTTAGCAAACATGAAACAATATTATATGTGCGAACACTTTCTATTAATGCAGTTCATTAACAAATAGAAAATAAAATAGGGGATAATACAAATCCCTGAGGTACCCCTATATTTAAAACTATTTACATACAATTACATACATTTACAGTATAAACTAGTATTGGGTGGAACGACCAACATTTTCTTTCACAATATGAAGTTCTTATACTTACTGTAAAGGTAGTTACTCCAGAAAATGGAGTCAGCCTGGTAAATGTGACCTGTACCATACTGTACCACTCAGTGGAAACGGGCCATTGGTCTCAGTGTGACCTCTGAGTAAGTGATGAGTGTTTGTGTGCTTTAGTGTTGCACATTCAGTAAAGAACAAGCAATTAAACTGACAGTAACTCTATGTTGCGTTATTTGGGAGGTAGTTGATAATATTGCGGCTTTTATCCTTTATTATCAACAAGTCGATTTATTGCTGCCGTATTAGCAGCACAGCACAATCATACAATCATAATCAATTATCCACTTTGTGAGAAACAATGTAAAAACATAGAAAGATATTTTCTTTATACCCCTGGCCCACCGGGCAGCGTTTAGATGGATTTTTGCGAGCCCTGAACTACAATTGCAATACTATTATATTCATAGTTATAATTATTTGACTTCTTTTTAAAATATCTTGTCTTTATTTGAACTAGTCATGCATTAGTTAGCATAAACAACATACAATATTATAATTCAGTATTTGGATGACACGGCATTAAGAAAAATGCTCCTAGTTCTCCCATTATCTTTCATGAAAAAGGCACACTGACTCACAGCCTCTTTTTCCCGATCCATAATGGTCTCCAGCTCTTCAAAATGTCTCAGTTTGATCTCCAGCTTTTTCATCTGAGTCTCAACCAACAGAGCCACCAGAGATTTGATCTTCCTCTCTTCTACTGCTGCCAAGTGCTAGAGGGACAGAAGAGGAAGGAGATTGAGATCAGATCAGTCACTTTTTTTTCAGGCTCTTCACTGATCACAAGAAAACAGGTCTGACATTCACCTTTGCTTTGGTTGCAGCTGAGGCCAGTGCTGCTGCGGCTGCTGTTGCAATACTTCCCTCCACCACATCCAGCTCCAGCCTCCTCTTCATCTGCTCTCCTTCTCCTTGAGTTAGGCTCATGTCAAAACTCTCCTCTAGACAAACAGACAAGGGGAAATCTTCACAACTATACCGCACACAGTAGTAAGGAATTACTGTTCATTTTTAATTACAGTATAATACTTATGATTTGCTTGCCTTGAATGCTATTGTAGAACTTTCAACAGGGTATATGCGGTATTGTCATTAACCTGGGTTAAGCAATTCCGGTGAACAGTATGCTATTACAAAATCGACACGTTTAAGGTTTGTTTTCTTTAAAAATTAGTTTTCTCAATTGGCTATGTGATATACAGTATAAAGTGGGTCTCAGATTGTACAAGAAGCACTGCAATAAATTAAACTTTTACCTGCCATGTCTTTAAAATATGAGCATTTATTTTACCCCAGTATATTCAATAGCGCTTCTGCGCTTGCCTGCCCATTCTGACAGGCGCATGCGAGTAAAAGTTTTGTCTCATTTTACGCTTGAGCAACTAAATGAATGCCAAAGTCTATTTAACTGATTGTATTTTAATTACATTACAACAATGATGATGTAAAAGGAATCGTATAAAATGGTCACATTAGTCATATTAACCGTTCACCTGAAGTTTATCAGTATGGGAAGAAACACTAGCTCTGCATAATACCTATAGATATACAGTTGAAGTCAGAATTATTAGCCCCCTGAATTATTATCCTCGTGTTTATTTTTTCCCCAATTTCTGGCAGAGCAGATATTTTTAACACATTTCTAAACATAATAGTTTTAATAACTCATTTCTAATAACGGATTTCTTTTGTCTTTGCCATGATGACAGTAAACAATATTTTACTAGATATTTTTCAAGACACTTCTATAATTTTTTTTTTTTATCTCTATTTATTTATTTTTTCAGGGTTAATTAGGCTAACAAGGCAGGTTAGGGTAATTAGGCAAGACATTGTATAACAATGGTTTGCTCTGTAGACTATAGAAACAAATTATAGCTTAAAGGGGCTAATAACTTTGAACTTAAAATGGTTTTTAAAAAATTATAAACTGCTTTTATTTTAGCCAAAATAAAATAAATAAGCCTTTTTCCAGAAGAAAAAATATTATCAGACATACTGTGAAAATGTCCTTGCTCTGTAAAACATAATTTGGGAAATATTTATTTAAAAAAAAAAATAAAGGAGGGTGGATGGTGGGGCTAATAATTCTGACTTCAACTGTATACCCAATGTTATTATGTTCCGGGGTATTTGAAGAAAAATGGATATTTACCATGTTATTAATTTTTTTCAAGGTTTTTTATTTGTTTATCACGTTATACAGAGCAAACTAAAACAAAACACCCCTTTCCAAGAACACCAGGGGGCTGTTCTACAAACTGAGCTTAGAGAAAAAGCCAGGCCTATTTTGCCAAGTCAGGTTTATTAATGGCAGATTCGGTTTCAAAAATCAAACATACGATAGTTCTAACTCAGTTAGCAACTTATGCTTGGAAACTAGCCTGGTCCGAAGCAGGTTAACTCTCAGGCTAAGTCAAGTTCAAGCTTAATCAAAGTAATTTTAACATTCACCTGCCAAGATTTGATACCATTATATTTCACTACTTAAACTCTAAATAATGATTAAAACTTTATGATAACTTAATAGTGAATATACATACATACATACATACATATATACATATACACATAAACACATACATACACACACACACACACACACACACACACACACACACATATATATATATATATATATATATATATATATATATATATATATATATATATATATATATATACACCAAACATCTTTTAGAATGATAGAATGATATATACATTTAAATTAAAATAAGTTATTGCAAACAAAGCAAATACAAACTACAGCATTTCAACTCGTTTTTTATTGTTTTTGTAGATTTTTTTACCGTTTTTAAAATGTTACTTAATATTTTCCCCCAACTTATTAATTTGAGTGTACAACTTTTTGGACTGTGATCTTTAGTGTATTTTGTTACATTAGTTCCAAATTTTGCATTGGTAGTGAATAATCTAATGTATATGCACAAACATTATAAAGCATTCTGTAGAAAATATTCATTGAAAATATTGATCTGTGAGGGGTGTACTTAGCTAGTATGTTAAAAAATGACTTTAAAGCTGGATGAAACCCCTGGATGGAATAGTCGGGAGATGAATCTGGGCCGAGCAGTAGCCTCACTTTAATATGAAGATATTTTCCCAGGGGCCACAGGAAACACATATGTCAACGGGAAAGCAGCATTCGGCAGCGGTTTCAATAGCAAATTAAAAATCCCACCGCTTGTGCGTGCATGGCTTTTTGTTGCCATTATTTTAAACTCAATGTGCTGACGTTAAGCACATTTAGTATGTTACGGTTAGTCTGCAATGCATTAAAACTTTTTCTAGTAAGCAACAGGCAGAAAGTGCGTATTCTTTCTAGCACTCTCTCACATGTTAAATTATACAATTTTATAAATGTTTTTGATCAAATACATGCATCATTAGTGACCATCAAAGACCTCAAAAAAGGTACAAAATTAATCTGAATAAGTACTATTTTCTGATTAGTAGTTTATGTTGCTAAATTCACAGGCATAAATCATGGAGTTCACTTCTTTGTGAGTGAAGCTGGCTCAGCCGTTTTCACATTTCTGTATTTATTGTGTTTTTTTTTCTAAATACATTTGGCATTCAACCACCGTTTGAGTAGGTCAGTAGTAAACTATTTTTAGCTTTAGTGTGCCCGAGCTGTCACATCAAATGTACTTCTGTGAATATTGAATAATATAGCAGCAACGTGTTAAATCAAGGTGAATCAATGCAAAGTGTTTTAATATGCAGAGCATCTGAGCTCCTCTGACCTGCTGTGCTCTCGTCTCCTCGCTCTCCTTCACTCTCTTCTTTCTCCTCGTTCTTCACGCGATCTCTTTCTCCCAAAATGCTGTCACCCTCCAACTACAACAGACAATACAGACTCAGTCACAATCACACTTTGCTTCATTGGGATTTGTGAAATACAAATAAATAATAAAAAAAATAAACCAGCAGAAAATGATTACTGAAGAAGAGTTGTGTACCTTTTCATGCTGGTCATATTCAGTATTCAGCGTTTCTATACCACCCCCATCTTGAAAAAAGAATAAAATATGTATATTTTTAAAATAGAGAACCATATATTAGTCAAAATCCTAATGTTAATTATACACCACATTATGTAGTATAGGGAGTATAGAGGTCATACATGATGACTGGCATTACATTGTTCTTCTACCACTTACTGCCCTCCAATGGATGATTTAAGTACAACCATTCCCTCAGCAACAAACAATAACATTGTACAATATAATAAGAATTAAAATAAATTGTTTAATGTTTTCATTTAAAATGGTGAAATTAGAAACCATAATTTGAGGTCATGTGATCATTCCGAAATCATTATAATATGCTAATTTGGTGAACTTCATTTTGCTGAAAACCTTTTGTTTCAGGACTCTGATAAAAAGGTTTAAAAGAACAGCATTTATATAAACTAAAAATCTTTAGCTTAAATCACCAAGTTTAAATCCTTTATTTTTTTCATAAAAAAATATATAAATTCATTAATAAAATTATAATTACATAAATAATATTCCCATCTACAGTCCGCTTAAAACATAAGTCTCAAACTCAATTCCTGGAGGACCACAGCTCTGCACAGTTTAGCTCCAACATAATCAAACACATCTGATCCAAATAATCAAGGTTTTCAAGACTACAGATATTTCTTAATGGCCGTTTATGTTCTCATGTTTTCGTGTAACTTCATCATCAACTGCCAAAGTTCAGTTACAAAACTCCAAGACAGCAAGAACAGAGGACGCATGAAAGTTCCCGGACGTGTTTTTGATATCAAGGACGCATCGATGCAGACTTGAGTGCAAAGATTTATTATTAAAGTTCTGAGTTAGAACTTCTTTATCTCTGGAGTTTTCCTAAATGAGACGATGAAAATAAATATTAACATGAAAATCTTAATAAAGGCATAAACACATTAAGGCTCTTTATTCGTTAAAATTCGTATTCGTAAAAGTAATTTTATTTGTATTGTGCAAAGTATATTTGTAAAGTCTTTTTGCGTAGCATATATTGTAAAAAGGGAAAAAAAATTAATTGTTGTATGAATGCTGTAAGATTTTAATAATTTGAACCTGAACTTAAAGACCGCTCTCTACAAGTCCTTGAGTCCATTCTCTGCATTCTTGGAATTGAGAAACAGCCTACTATTAGAGATCAGTCTTAACCACCTTGATTAGTTGGGTCACCTGGGTTTGATAAGGGTTGGAGCAAAACTTTGCAGAACTGCAGCCCTAAAAGAATTGACTTTAAGACCTATCTCTTAAAATGATAGTTAACCCAAAAATGACATCATTGTTTACTCACCCTCATGTGGTTTCAAATCTTTATGAGTTTCTTTCTTCTTTTGAACACAAAAGAAGATATTTTGAAGTAAGTAAAAACTACTATTTGATTTGATGTTTATCATCCACCAGCATTCTTCAAAATATCTTTTGTATTCAACATAAGAAAGAAACTCGATAGGTTTTTAACAGGCGTAAGTAAAGGATAATTTTCATTTTTGTGTAAACTGTTGATTTAATGTTGATAACAGATTAATGACATTTAACCATGCAGTATATACCTGGTTTTTAATGCATTTCAAATGAGAATTCTGGGGAGAGTTTCGATCATTTACATAAAAACACACATGCACAAAAAAGTAAGATGAGTACCATTTTTTTCTGAAAGGTCAGAATCGAGTCCTGCAGCTCCGCCTGTTTGGAGTGTAAAGGCTGGTTCTAAATTAAGTCTGACTCTCGGTGCTTTGTGAAAGTTAGCGTTGAAAAACTCTGAAGGGGCGTCTTCTCTTGCTCTTGAGAATTCCTCTGAAAGATACATATTAATACAGATTATCTATCTATAAATACAATTAGGGTTAGGATTCTTTGCCCCCCTGAATTATTAGCCACCCAGTTTATTTTTTCCCTAATTTCTGTTTAAAGGAGAACAGATGTCTTCAACACATTTCTAAACATAATAGTTTTAATATTCCATTTCTAATAACTGATTTATTTTATCTTTGCCATGATGACAGTAAATAATAACAAAAATATTATCAGACATACTTTGAAAATTCCCTTGCTGTGTTAAAAATAATTTGAAAATATTTTAAAAAGAAAGAAAAAAAAAACAATTTAAAGGGGGGCTAATAATTCTGACTTCAACTATATATACACAGTGCTCAGCATAATTGAGTACACTCCATTTTAAAGATTGAATCCATTTCTCAGTGAATATAGGCAATGTATTTTGATGCAATTTAAAAACAAAACAGATTTATTAAACAAATACATTATATTAAAATAAGTTTGTCACCACAAATATTTAGAAATAATTATTTTTTTTTAAATTAAATTCAAGCAAAATATTGCAAACAAAAAACTAATACAACCTACAAAATTTCTGCAAAATATTTACATTTTTTTGCTTCTTTTGATTTTTCCTCATTTTAAAATTTGTATTTAATATTTTTCTCTAACATTTAAAGTTGGGTGTACTAGTTTTGGACGGTTATCGTAAGTTATTTTGTTAGATAAGCTCCAGATTTGGCTTCGGTACTGACTAATATAGTGTATATGCACAAATACAATATTGTATAGCTTCCTATTAAAAAGATTAATTTAAAAGAAAGATTTGTGATGGGTGTACTTATATATGCTGAGCACTGTGTAACATTAACATTCTTTCTTAGTAACATCAAATCTTCAAATCACCACATGCAAAACGATACCAAGTCTGACCTAAAGCTGCTTTGGCTGCTGCAGAGGCCACCCGAGAGTCCACCACAGATGCCAGAAAAGCAACAGTGCTCATCACAGGGTTCCCTGACTGGCTGAAGGGGACCGGCTGATAGGCCAAAGGACCCATTGAGGCTTCAGAGTTCTCTAGGTATGGGTCCTCTATTGGTAACCGCAAGAAGTGAAGAATACAGTCATCCTGTGTGCGGCTGCCCACATGCTCTGACACCTTATTCCAGTCATCTTTATACATCTCCAAAGCCTGCCATGAGCAAAAAAATAAATGAAAACCTACTCCAAAACAAGGACACGATTGTGAATATAGAGGGCTTTATATTCAATATAAAACTTGCATAATAACTATTATTAATCAGCATTATTATTAAATGGGTTATTGTAATAATTTCTACTGAATAGGACTGGGTATTGTTTTTTAATGATACCAGTACCACTATTTTGACTTTAAAATCAATAACTGAATAATATTTTATACCTATAATGATATTTTTTAATATCAATTTTAAAAATAATACACTTTTCATTTATTTTTTTACACAAAGTAACAAAATGTAACCAACACAGTAAAACATTACTGTGTTGGTTACACAATAAACATTACAATAATTATGTATTAACACAGTATGGGGAAAAAAGGTGATTTAATGACTTTGAAAGTGGCATGGCTGCCAGATGAGCATTTCAGAAACTTCTGATTTACTGGGATTTTCATGCCGACCATCTCTAGGGTTTACAGAGGATGGTCTGAAAAAGCCAAAATATCCAGTGAGCATTAGTATTGTGGGCGGAAATGCCTAATTGATGCCTGGTCAGAGGAGAATGGCCAGACTGTTTCGAGCTGATAGAAAGGCAACAGAATACAAATAACCACTCATTGCAACTGAGGTATGCAGAAAAGCATTTCTGCACAACATGTCGAACCTTGATGCGGATTGGCTACAGCAGCAGAAGACCACACCTGGTGCCACTTCTATCAGCTAAGAACAGGAAATTGAGGCTACAATTTGCACAGGTTGACCAAAATTGGACAATAGAAGATTCACATCATAGATGTGCAGCCAACAAATCTGAAGCAACGGTGTTGCTATCATGTCAATATGAACCAAAATCTCTGAGGAATATTTCCATTCTCTTATTGAATCTATGTCACCAAGGATTAAGGCAGTTCTGAAAGCAAAAGGGGTCTAACCCGGTACTAGTTAGGTGTACCTAATAAAGTGTCCAGTGAATGTATTATTTATATTATATTATATTATTAAATACTTTAAGTATTGTACAGTTATTCTAGTGACAATGCATTCAAATGAATAGCCTGAAACAGCCCTGTTATTTTAAAATACAAATAAATAAATTCAAAGTTACTCGCCTCTGTTCTGATGATAAGGCAATGCTTCAGGTCATACATGAATTATTTATCACTGAATAGCAGGCATGCAATCACAGCTGACATCATGAAAAGCTGACATAAGCAAATACATTTGAGGTCATAGCATGGGCATAGCCAAGATATGATGACATAACTTAAATTTTTGGGTGTATGAATAACAAATGACACAACTTGTGTTTTATATGATTTATATTAAGGAATGTTTATGGATTTTGGCCTGGCTTACACTGAATGGTTAGCTAACTACCAAACTTGATATAAACTTGAAAAAAAAAAACTTGAAAAAAAAAAACGCCATAGCCTTGGCCAGTGTTTTAATTTCTGCTGTTCTACTACAAAAAGTTACTTTAAACTTAAAACTACTTTTCAAAAATAAGCTTCTTAAAATTTTGAACTACTTAAAATACTTTTAAACATTAAGTAACTGTAAACTTAAGGCTGCTTTTAAACTTTAAACTACTTCAAAAAAACCTCTTGACAAACATTTTAATCTAGTCTCTGTTGTTCTACGGATCTGCTCTACAGGGATAATATGCCACTATTTTGACGCTGCTGACGGTTTTATATAAACTGTATCATCTTACAACTTTAATTAGAAAGGCAAAAATACAAGTGTAAAAGAGTTATCCTCTCACAGAAGCTGTTCACTTTATGTCCCAGTATCAGTGTTTTTTTTGCAATAAATTTGCTGTCCAACATACTTGGTTTATTAACACTAGCTAGGTTTCCATCCAAAGATGCAAATTAAATTTATGTAATAATCACATAAAAGAATTAAGCAGCGAATTCACAATGCGAATAAAGCAGCTTTTCTTTCTTTCTTTTTTTAAAGTTCCCAGTTTCTGCAGGTTGCAATGTCCTGGATTTTGCTGGCCAATGTTACGCCATTTGTAATGGTTTGTTTTTTGGTTAAATTTAGAATTTAATGCCGCATTTCTATCCAATAAGTTAAAGAGAACAAATTCTTTACTTCCTGATTAACTGGCACCAAATATCAAAAGTAAAAATTGAATTTATTGAGGTAGGAGAAGCTGTGTTAATCTTTTCTTCATTTAATAAATGATTTTCGCCTCAAAAGACCTTAGGTGTGTTCGGCTTCATGCAGTGCTGTGCAAATCGATCAAAATTGGTCTTAAATCGATGCAAGTCTGTTCGAAATTCTTTGCGGCTTGACACTGCGCAGACACGTGACTGTCACATGTGGCATCAAATTACTGCGACAGCGTTCTGAGATCAGACGATTGATTCAGCTGTTGCAGCATCTGAAGAGTGACTGCAAGAGCTGCGATGATGACACAGATATTACACAATTGGCTGAATTCACCACATGACAACAACCACGTGCGTTTCGCATTTATTAATGGACAACTTCTGTCTCGCAAATTTCCTAACAATTAACATTTAATGCCACCTCTATCTTGTACACATCATGCTTACTAAAATACTAATTTATATATAAAGACTAAATTTGTTTGCATAGGTTTATCTTTGATCATTTTCATACAGACCCTTTAATGTATACAGCTTCATATTTGATTTAAATGATATATTTTTAATGAATAAACAAATATCAACACAAATAAGTCTTACAGACTTGTAATATAAATCATCATTGCACAAAACCCCTCCCTGCCTCCTCCCCCGTATGAATATGCTAATGACTCTACTTTGGCAAACCCAACGAAAAAGCAATGGCAAAAGCAAGCAAAAAGAGAAACTTTGAACAGAATATGAATTGGAGGTGCTCCTTTCGGAGGTAGACCGGAGAAAAACTGTTATTTGCAAGTTTGTCCTCTGGAATTAACAACAAAAGAAAAAAATAGAGTGGGAAAGTTTAGCTGATGCGGTCAACACAGTTGGGTCTGAACATCGAACTGAGTGAATTAAAAAACCAATAGTGTGATTTATAGGTGTAAAATGTTGCAGCACCCTTAACAGTCTCAGTGGCGCAGCTCATAAAACGCATGTCAACATGTTTTGACACGTTTGAGCATGAACTCAGTTCGAATCCAGCGTCTGATGAAATCATTCTTCTTTTTTCCGCCGCTACATATCAAATTTTGCCAACTATTTATCACGAGGAAGACAAGTAGGAATCATTAATAAGTTTGTGCATCATATTTTATTTGCACATTTATTGAATGGAAATGTTTCTGATTCACGCATGCAAATTCATCTTTAGATAGTGTCTTTATAGCAATGTGCGTGCAGTAGATATACCGATTACATTGGGAAAACAAGCGACCGCTGCAAATTGTGCTTTAATGTTTAGCTGGTCAACTGTATAGTTTACAATGTGGTCAGCCTGCTGGTTTATCCATTCACACACATTTTTAAAATCTCAAGACTTTTTTAATGCGAATTCTGGAATTTGTTTGGTATTAGTGTTTCCGTGGTAGTTTATACGCATCTTTTCTTATCAAATAAAAAGTTTATCCTATGAAGTTATGTGCGTACATTTTTAATGTACACAACTAATGCACATCTTGCCCTTCCCAATAACTGTTTTTTATGCGAACATCTAAAATAAGCATAAAAATAGGTGGATGAAAACATAGCTACGGAAATCGATCATTTTAGGTATCAAAATGTTGGCTTTAGATTAATTCAATTTGAATTAAAGTACTTTTTTGGACTTGGGATTTTTGCTTGACATAAAAAAATAATTGTCAAATGCATCCAGTACTATTGCTGCTGAAGTCTAGATTACAAATCTTTAATTTACGTACATAAAAATTTAATAAATCTTTAAACCGTTTGACTGGATTACCTCCAACAGCAAGAGTGTTTCCTGTTCTGTCCATTCTCTCCCTGCACTTGCACCTTTACTCTAAAAGATAAAAAAAAAAGTAAAACAGAAAATAAGAACACAAAGTTCAGCTGAACAAATAGATTCAAGACAGCTGTGTTAAACACTTCTAAAATAAAACAATTTGCATTTTTTTTTTTTACCTTTGGATGTTTCTTAGCATAAATGTCACTTCGTAAACCAAAGTTCTGCAGGTCAGATGGTTTTTCTCTTGATTTCTCAGGGAAATGCAGCATATGCTGAGAAGCTGAAACCTTCAAACACACATAATTTGATTTAACATTTTGTTTTATAATAGCTAAACTGAAGCTTCTCAACGTGCAGTCAAAGTTGTATACATCACCTGTAGTGGTCTGTGCTGTAGTGGGACTAGTCCAGAGGGTGCATCTGTAAGAACATTAAAGTGTGGTGTTGGGGGTGGGCCCATCGGGAGGGGGCGACTCTCCGCGTCAACCTGATAATTTATCAATCCCCACTGCTCCAAAAAAGAATGAACCCTACAGTACATATAACAAGGTTAATAAATTATTTACAAATGATATAATATGCATAGTAGAGTAGCAAAGTTCTGGATAAATTGAGAATCATGACTTTGGGGTTTAAAGGTGACATCAGATGAAACTAACTTTTTTGCACTTTTTGTTTTTGTATTTTTTGTATTTTGTTTTTGCTGTGTCTACTTTCTCAAAAAATATGCAACATTTGTTATTAAATGTGCCATCATTTGACCCAATATATTTTCATGTTTGTGTTAATGTAAACTATTAATTACTAGTTCTTTCATTGTTGCTGCCTCAAAACAAAATATGCACTCCACCTTATTCCTGTCCCTTTTGTAAAAATATGGCAAATGTTGCTAACAAAGGTGCCTTATGTTTTTCTGTTTGAACAACGAGGCGTGTAGCCTGCTCTCTGTTCAGATGTATGGGCTCATGGGTGTCCTTTCACAGAGTAAAAGAAGAGGCAACAGTAAAATAGCTTAATTTTTATAAAATAAAGGAATAGGAATATCCCAGAAAGAATGGACAAAATTATGGAAAACATTTTTCGTCAGAAAGATTTGCAAACCTTGGCCAATATGAAGATGGCAAAATTGCTGTATCAACAATTCATATAAATGACAGAAGTGACTTTTTAAATAAAAATAGAATTCTTGTTTATTATAGTTATTACTATATCCACTTATTAACCAAATATTAACTATTAACTGGTCAGAATAATATTAAATTATTATTTAATTTTAAAAATGATAAAAACTGATGTATCTGTGTCTGACGCATTAAATATTGCATTTTAAAATATTGATTTATTTTAACATGCGAGCATATTAAGAGCGAAACATCAGCGAAACAGCACAGAATAAACTAAATAAAAAGAATAAAATAAATAGTTCTGCCCTAGATATTTTTCACTTAAATGACAAATTTAGATTACAAAATGAAAACACTGACTGAATCCTTTTTAATAACTAGCATAGGCTGTTTTTTCCCATCATATGTTTTTTTTTCTGTCAAATAAATATAGCAGGCTACCTCAAATTGATTAATCCACGGCAAATAGGCATTTAAATTAATGCTCTGCTGTAATTCCTATATCATAAACCTCTTTAAACATTTTAATGGAAGCCATTATTTTAAAGATTATGTCTTGAGTGTCTGGTTTTACCTTAGAGCTTGTGTGCTTTTATTTCCTCTCTCACTTGCAGTTCATGTACGTGTGCTGCGTGTGACGAAAAACAATGAGAAAGCTCATATGTTGACTTTTTGTAAAGTATATATATAAATCTAAACTTGTGTTAATTAAAAGAAATATTAATTTACATATAATAAATAATACTGCTAATAATAACAACATTAGGCAACACTGTGGCACAGTGGGTAGCACGATCAACTCACAGCATAAAGGTCGTGTTCGTTTACTTCTGGGGCTCCGGTTTCCCCCACAAGTCCAAAGACATGCGTTATATCCATAGTGTATGTGTGCGAATGAGTGTGTATGGATGTTTCCCAGTACTGGGTTGCAGCATGGAAGGGCATTCGCTGTGTAAAACAAATGCTGGATGAGTTGGCTGTTCATTCCGCTGTGGCGACCCCGAATAAAAAAAAAGGAACTAAGTTGAAAGAAAATTGCAAATTGTCATGAATAAACTGAAAAAAGTCCCCTGAGATGAAGAAGTCATAGAGGTAGTGTTTTTTATTTATGTAGAAAATAATAATATTTTTTATAAAATTCCAATCCTTTAAGTTTTTCATATGTAAAAAAATTAGCATATCGCTGTACATCCTGTGTGCATTAAGCAATGTGTAAGCATTTGGACCCGCATAGGCGCTCAACTAACATGCTCTGTGCTGGACTTTAGACCTGCTTTTAGATGGTCAATGACGCAGTCTATTTCAGTTCCTCAAAATAGCAACGAACCAACAGTGCGCCTTAAAACACCTCCTTTCTAGACCGGCACACACCTGAGTCCACAATGTGGCGCAAATGGATTTGCTATTTAAACAATGTGGCACAAAACGGGAAAATTAGGGTTGCGCTGATCTGAAAATAGCAACAAATCGTGGCAAATCCGTCTTGCGCATTGTTGCGCAAGGGTATGATAAGACCCAAAGACCTTTTAATAAGTTCCTAAAGAATCATCTCAACTTGGGAAAAATGGGCATCCGATGTCATATTTAAACAAAGATCTAGATTACATAATGAATCTTTTAAATGAATAACTTCATGACAAATGCATATTTAAGTTACTTGACACATTTTACTGATGTAATAATTTAAGTTGCTGTTGATGTCAGAATAACCAAACTATAATCTTTTATCCCTGAACATTTGTGATTTAGACGTTTTGTAGCACAGAAACGTACTATGAAAAGACTTAAGCCCAATTCACACTGAACTGACAGACAGTGACAAATGCACTTCAAGTCATTCCACAACCAGACAAGCACAGATTTAGCATTTAATCAGCAAAAACAGGCTTCAACAGATGGCCACAGACATATTAGCACAATGATATGACATTGTGTAGCTGTCTGTTAGTGCAGTGTGAATAGGCTATTAAGACTGAAGCTGTTTTTGAAACATAAGTGAATGTTCCATTAGATTATTACTATCAAAGATGTAAAACATGTTTATATTGAGTTCATACACACACCTTATGAGAGCACACACATCTCCAGTTAGGTTTCGTCTGGAGGAGGTTGAGGTCAGATACTCCTGAGGGTTTAGCCGGTATGTGTCAATCATGAAGTTGCGATATGCAAGATATCTACAAACACAAATATGTTTATTTAGAGTTCAGATTAATCTAACATAATATATGCATGTACACAACACTGACTTACATTTCTGGAGTTTTGGACTTATTTTTCCCATTGAAAAACTCAGGAAGGGCTCTTCTCTCAATCTGATGAATACTAAAAAAAAAAGAGAAACACACACACGCACAAACAGATGCACACACCACAGTATTACTCTTTGTAAAAATGTTTAACAATGGTAATTGCATCTCCCTGATAACTGTTGGTATAACTACAACAGCACGTATAATACTGAGGTTTTGGAAAAACATTCAATGCCCTACACTTAATGGATGCAATTTATGCTCAAGAATCTGTTATATAAAATGCATGTTAGCCAAAATGATTATAAGGAAGTTGAAATATGGAGAAATTACATTTCTTCACTTACACTATGAATGGTACTGTTTGTTATAATAAAAGGAAACCGAATAAAAACTTCGGAAAAGGAATGGCAATTGCATGAGCATTAGCTTCAGCTTTAGAGTTGGAGTAATCTGGACAGTTAAACTCTCACCAGTTGTAGTCGAACCAGGAGGCATAGGTGGGCACAATGATGTGATGCGTTTGCTCTGTGGCACTTTCCTCCCCCTCCATCCCACGACCAAACTCCCTCTGCTCCTCCTCATCCTACACACAATATTGCAGATTAATATTGCAGATTTAAGAACTCACAGAGTAGACAATGAGAACTACAACAAAGTTCTCAATGTTGATTCTGTGTTAGACTGGACAGAAAGCAACTGTCTAACTTGACTAAATGACTAACTTAAAATTTATTAAAATTATTACTTAAAATTACTTGTCTTAAATAACCCACACAAAAGACAAATTGGTTGTCCCCAACTACAGTTAGGTCGATAAATATTAGGACATTGATGCAATTCTAAAATGTTTTGGTTCTATACACAAATACAATGGATTTAAAATGAAACAAACAAGATGTGATTCAACTGCAGACTGTCCTCTTTAATTTGAAGGTATTTGCATCCAAATCAGGTGAACGGTGTAGGAATTACAAAAGTTTGCATATGTGCCTCCCACTTGTTAAGGGACCAAATGAAATTGGATAAAATAATGATCATGAATCAAACTTTCAATTTTTAATACTTGTTTGCAAATCCTTTGCAGTCAATTACAGCCTGAAGTCTAGAACACATAGAGCTCAAAAGACGCTGTTTCATTCTGGTGGTGCTCTGCCAGGCCTCTGCAGCAGCTGTCTTCAGTTCCTGCTTGTCTCTAGGGGCATTTTTCCTTCAGTTTTATCTTCAGCAAGTGAAATACAATCTCAATTGGATACAGATCAGGTGATTGACTTGGTCATTGCATGACATTCCACTTCATTCGCTTCAAAAACTCTATGGTTGCTTTTGTAGTATGCTTTGGGTCATTCTCCATCTGCACTGTAAAGAACCGTCCAATGAGTTTTGAGGTTGATATGAGCAAAAAACTATTGCCTGAAACACTTGAGTCTTGAGAATTCACATCATCAATAAATACAGGAGAACCAGTTCCATTGACAGCCATACATGCCCACACCATGACACTACCACCACCAGGGCTTGAAATTAACCTTTTTGCTTGGTAGCACCGGTGCTCCTAACTTTCAAAATTTAGGCGCATCAGCCAAAATTTAGTCGCACTTATAAGCACTGTTACTACAAGTTTTATACAAACATATTTATTTTATTTGAAATCAACACTAATCAAACTAACAAGCAAAAAAATATATATGCAAGTGTGAGGAAAATTTGTCTCAACGAAATTCCGTTATCACAAGAAAATTTTTATAACATAACTGAGTGACCAAAAGGTACACGGAGCGCTCACCGGCCCTGCACGCACTGCTTGACATGAATGAATCTGTTAACAGTATAACTGTGCTGTTCTCACAGGTCGTGTCTAATATTGCACTGATGTTTTTGACATATACTGTACCTTATTATATGCATACATGTGTTAATAGCAATACTTTTTTTATGAGTAGCGATATTAGTTTAGTCAGTGTAAGCCCGTTTGCGATGGTGTACGTGGTGTTAAATTTTACATATATCTGCCACTTGCATGGTGGACAGCATCTGGCGATTAAATGAAGGATTAAACAGAAGTTCTCGTGCTAGATGTGGCACACAGTTACCTGAAAATTCTATCCGACAGACTTTTCATAGCGGACTTGAAGCCAATGGAAGTCTTTTATCCACTCTTCGAAAAGTGTAGATGGTGGATTAACATTTAGCACATGATCACTAGTAAGATGTGTCATTATTTGTAACTTAAGATGCCATGGTTTCAAAAAGAAAATCTGTCAGTGTTATCTTCATTCTCATCTTCAGCGCTTTACAGTTTTTCGCGGTAGTAGCTCTCTCTGTCATCCCAAGCCAGAAGGCATTAGCTATGTTTCCATCCAAAAATGCAAATGAACTTTATGCGCAAAACTGGATTATCGCATAAAAGTTGTGCGAATGAAGCAGCGTTTCCATCCAACGAGTCAAAGCGACCAAAATAGTCACTTCCGGATTAACTGGCGCCAAATATCAACAGTAAAAACTGCCTTTGCTGCCGTAGGAGAAGCTGCATCAATCTTTTCTAAATGAATGCGCCTCAGAAGACAATCCTGACATGCAGCGAGCGCGCAGTGGCATATGAAGGTGTCAGACGCGGAGCACAGGCACTTTTGATTCTGGAGGTCATTAATAATATAATAGCATTAATACTAAAATGGTAAGGTGTTTTATAATGACCAAAACAACATTTCAGATGTTTTATAATGTGCACAGTTTTGTCCATTCATACACAATTTAAGCATCACATGATCTCCTTTAACAAAATCACATGACCTTTTTTAACGCGCATACTGGAGTTTGTGTGGTAAAAGTGTTTCCATCACAGTTTATGCGCATCTTTTCTTATCAAATAAAAGTTTATCCTGCCCAGTTAGGCGCATAAGTTTTTATGCGCATTTTCAAAATTTATGCGCATCATGGCGTTTCCATCAACTGGTTTTCTTATGCGCATAAAATAGGTGGATGGAAACATAGCTATTGACTGAGTGATTGAGAGCTGATATTTCAGTGCTAGAGCAGTAGTGGGCCAATAAGAAGAGTGCGAAGGCGGGGCAAGTATTACAGACTTGGCTTTGTTTACTGCAGCAAGTTGACATGACAACTGTTTTAAACCATTCCTGAGCGCTGCATTTCATGTTTCAAGTGCAAAGATGCATTCTGCGTGAATGTCTCCCAAATCCGCACATGTGGTGAACATTTTGCAGTAAAAACTGGTCGCACACAACAATTTTTTTGCACCAAAATGGTCGCAATTTCGAGCCCTGACCACCATGCTTCACTGCTTAGGATCTTGAGCAGATCCTTTAGTTCTCCATACTCTTCTCTTCCCATCACTCTTGTACAAGTTTATCTTGATCTCATCTTTCCACAGGATGTTGTTCCAGCACTGTGAATGCTTTTAAAGAACTCTAATTTGTTTTAAGGCTCACCAATGATTTACATCTTGTTGTAAACCCTCTGTATTTACTCTCGTAAAGTCTTCTCTTGAATGTTGACTTAGACACACATGCACCTATCTCTTGGAGAGTGTTCTTGATCTGGCCAACTATTGTAAAGGGTGTTTTCTTCACCAGGGAAAAATCTTCAGTCATCCACCACAGTTGTTTTCTGTGATCTTCATGGTCTTTTGATGTTGCTGAGCTCACTGGAGCGTTCTTTCTTTTTAAGAATGTTTCAAACAGTTGTTTTGGCCATGTCTAATGAATTTGCAATCTCTCTGATGGATTTGTTTTGTTTTTTCAGTCTAATGATGGCTTGCTTAACTGATAGTGACAGCTCTTTGGAGTTGATGTCCAACATATTTTGTTGGACATCATATTGGAGTTGACAGTAACATATTTTAAATGCAAATAGCACACTTAAAATAAACTCTTGAACTTTTATCTGCTCATTGTAATTAAGACAATGAGGGAATAACGCACACCTGGCCATGGAACAGCTTAAAAGCCAATTGTCCAAGTGCTTTTGGTCCCTTAACAAGTGGGAAGCACATTTGTAAACTGCTGTTATTCCTATACCGTTACCCTGACTTGGATGTATTCTTTGGCACACTATTTGTTCAGTGCAGCCATAGAGTGTTGTCCTTTTATTACTTTTCATAGACCTTCTTGGAGGCTTTTGTAATTGGACCGGCACAGACGTTTCTTTAAATAAATGCACAAACTACTATATATTGTTAGGTTAACTTACTCTGACACCAGCGAGCAGGTCCTCTTCCTGGTCATCTGAGAGAAACAGACACATTAAATGAATATACTGATATACAAACAGACAAACAGTGAAATACACAGTCTTGTACAATCTTACCTAAATCAGCCATAATGCCACCTTTGACTGGAGTGTTTTCACTGTCTTTTTTCAGGTTCACTGTAAACAATGAGAAATAAATGTGCTGTTAGGGCCGGGACACACCATGTCAAAGACAAACAACTAGCAGCAATAAAACCAAACTGTGTTGTTGCCTCATGTTGGTTTCTTCTGGAGTAAAAAGCTGCCTGTGAACATACCAAACGGACAAAAGGCAACTAAAACAAGCTATGTTTCACGTGTGTGCAAGAGGTACACTCCGAGTCTAAGGGTGTACTCACACTAGGCACAGTTGCCTTGAACCAAGCCCTGATGCGATTTTTTCCCCCTCTCCGTGCACTCACACTGTATTTTTAAAGGGTCATGATATGTGTATACACCATCCTGTCACAAAATGCGGTGAAAATTCAGCATGATGGTAATACAGCCACGGCGAAGGGCTATGCGTCAGCACCATAGCATATGCCGGTGTTTGACGCAGAAGTATAAATCAGTCTTTACCAAATCTGTAGACATAGGACAATCAACACCAACTGGAACAGTGTCTTTTTTTAAAAGAAGACAAGTGGCAAATCTGGATTTTACCATTACCAAATGCGAAAAGCTCTCAGGTAAAAAATGTTCCATACAAACATATTTTTGCTGTGTGTAACCAGACCATTGTCATCCACACTTCAGTCCAGCTGTGCTCTTATAGAGGGAAAATGGAAACAAAAACCTTCATTGCAGCACATTTGAAAACGAAACGCTCACGACCCATGTCTCTAAACAATCCTTCTTTTTCCACTTGTTTACAGTGACGTAGCTTCAAAATTTCTTTTCAAACCGAAAGAAAAACAACTACACAAAATTACACAAAAACAACTTATTTTTTACTTTTTTGTGGAATATATGTGTCCTAATAGTGTTTTTAGCAGAGTTGGACACATAAATGACTGTCAACATCTCAAAAAAATGTGTTTTGTGACTCTTTAAAGGGCACATAGTTTACCCCTTTTTATGATTTAATATTAATATTATGGTTCTTCTCAGTGTGCCAGTTTAGGTTCAGTTCAAAACACAGTTCAGATTCTTTTATTATATTGTGTTAAAAAGTGTTATTTTGGGGGCGTGTACACAGCTCGCTGTTTTAGGGGTGTGTTGCTTCATATGAAAATTTGTTTCAAATTCCCGCCCAACGTAACAAGGGGACGGAGCCAAGAGTTCCCCCGCTCTGTGTTTAACAAGAGACAGGCAGACAGAGACCATCATGGGGTGAATGTTAATCATGTGTTGAGCCTAATGAGCCTTTTACCTACAAATAGAGCAAGGGTGTTCCTTTAGTGACATCGCTTTGACTTACACACTGAAAATGGCGGACATGAAACAACAAACTAAGAATATGGTGATGCGCGCCTGTCAATCAATATTGGTGGGCGGGGGGGCCACACTCCTTCGTCAAGTTGCAGTCGCTCTGAAAACCACTCCAATTGGTCCACCATTTTTATGTTGTTAAATTGAAAAAAAAAAAAAAAACTGGGTGTGTTTATATCACCCCAATACGAAGGTCTATACACTTAACCTACACACGTCTGTCCAAACAGCTTTAAAAGTAGATTTTAAAGTTATAGGTGCCCTTTAAATTCCTAGCCCAGGCACATACATCATCAATGATGCGACTGTTCAGTTAGGAAGGGAAGCGCTCTTGCTCAGTACAATGAAGATTCCTTTAGTTTTATATTGTTTTGTATTATTTTGAGTCATTTGACATGCCATTCAAAGCACTCACCATTGTCAAACAAAATGACAATGGGGTAAACACGATCAGGCACTGTTCAAATAGCATAGTGTGAGTACAACCAAGTTGCTGAATAACCGATTAGAGCGCTCACTTCAGCTGACGGCTTGATGCCGAATGTTTATGCTGAATCAGGCCAACAAGCACCAGTGCTAACCCGACGAGAGCTACCATGTGGAACACACCAAACCAACTAGCTGGGCTGAAGCTGCCCGACGAACACCAGTCGGCTTGTTGTGTTCCAGATTTTTCACTCTTTGCATCACTACAAGTATTTAATGTGTATAAAAAAATAAATAAATAAATAAATAAAAAAAATACCATTTTTAGGCAGGATGACCTCCTCCATGTTGGGGACAGGTGTGGGATCCTCCATCTCCTTAGTAAGATCCTCCTCTGGATCTGCCTCTTCTGGCTGGCCACGTTTTTTATAGACCCCTGAGCTACTGGGTTGCATCAAAATCAACATGTCATGCTATCAAGAATTAGATGCAATCTTAAATAAATCTGCACTGGATTTATTCACACTTTCAGAGGGGGAAAAGGTAACAATACCTTGTGATTTATTATAATATATTTGACACATAATATATTAGAATGTAGCACTGACTACAAAATAAGAAATTTAATTAACCTTTTCTTTCCTCCCTTTTTTTTGGACTCAGAAGGTGGTGGAGATGGGGAGCGCCGCCGTTTCTTAAAAGGTTTCTGCTCCTTGTTGAAGAAAAAACAAAGAGATGAGTCTAAAACACCAAACCAAAGTCAACTGCAAATGAAGCAAATTCAACAAAACAAATGAGTTTTAACCCTTTCACGTTCACGATCACACAGGTGTGATCAGCCTTGACTGGTCCCTGAAGTACAATGACACCAATGTGATTATTGTTCAGAAGGCACATGGTCAACTGTTAAACTCAAATGAGATTTTCCGCTAGAGGTGTGAACCTACACTGGTCTCACGGTTCGGTTACGATTATCATGCCATCGATTGGGTTCAATTCGATATCTTGGTGCATTGACAATGCCTTCCATACACAGTGTTGTATTCTTGGGGGAGGCTATAACAAGCTGTCCACACACACACACACACACACCACACACAAACATAGGCAGCACCAAACAAACAAACATACGCGCACACGTGCTTGCTCACTCGCTTGGTCGGGAGCGATATTGTGAGACCGCCCACTCCTCCAAAGAGAGGGGAGGAAAAAGTCATGCCAGCAGCCGAGAGGAACAGTCACGCCAGCAGGTGAAATGGGCCACAGAGAGAGAGAGAGAGAGAGAGAGAGAGAGAGAGAGAGAGAGAGAGAGTGAGAGTGAGAGTGAGAGTGAGAGAGAGAGAGGGAGAGAGAGAGAGAGAGAGTGAGAGAGAGTGAGAGAGAGAGAGAGAGAGAGAGAGAGAGAGAGAGAAAAATGAAGTAATTTCATTCCCTCAATTGCAGAGAAATAGGGACTTCTGCTGTAAGTGTCAGGGAAAAACTGTCAAGAAAACAAATCCTCGCAGTGAAATTGTGCATAGTGCGCATATGAGATAAATGACGTCAGTACATAATAACTGGTTATGATTATTACTGAACCGATACCGAATCGTCCGTCTGCATCGCGGTGCACTAAAGAAACAATTAATTATGCGCAATACCGCATGTCAGCCATAGAAAAAGGCACACTGTGCTTATCAGTGTTTTCAAACAAATATAATTTATTTTAGATTTCAGACATTCAAATATAACATTTATCGCTTGTAAAAATTTACGAAGAGGTCTATGGAGATGACAATAATAATTATTTTGAAATATAATTGCAAGATATGCATGATTTACATGAGATAAACATGGTTTAAGTGACTATAACATTTAGGCCAAATCCCAATTCTATTTTTGTACCCCTACCCATTCCCCATGACACTTGAAACAGAGTGTGAAGGGGAAGGGCTCTGAAATTTACCCCTAAAAAAAATGGGACAGCACTACAGCTCCTGCGCACATCATCATATGTCATTGTGATCTCTTGCTTTATATGAGATCAGACGATCGTGACTGCTGTAGTTATTCCAGTTGCATTATTTTTTGAATATTTATCTTCAGGAAATAACTTAAGGCATATTTTACGTTATTGTAGCGATATAATGTGACAATAAGATCGTAAGTATACTGTGCATTTACACAGTGGCCATATTCATTTATGTAAACACACAAAAAATAACATTAACGTTATAGCAGACACTATAAAAACTACTTTCCAGCCACTAGACATTACTGACAGGGTATTTGAGTGTCATTGAGTGTCAATGTTGTGGGACTGCTATACAAAAGTTAATATTAGGGATTATAAATCGCGAAATTTAGCGGTTTTTATTATGACGGTAAAACACGAACGTGGTTATGAATTTATATGAACATAAAGCTTATTTGTTTTAAAAATTCATAATAATGACCAAAAAATCTAATTTGTGAGTCTCTTTACTTCCGGGTGCAGCTATGCTGCCGTTTGTTACTGGTGTATTCAGGGAAATTTTCTTACCCCTTGGTTTCTAGAGTGGTCCTGAAAAATCTCAGTTTAATGAGATATCTACCCCTTGCCCTTAGCCCTACACCTTCAAGCTAAAGAGAATTGGGAAGGGGTAAGGGGAAGGGCAAAGGGGTAGAATTGGGATTGGGCTTTATTTTAATACCAGTTAAACAGCATTCTATTTCAGGAGAAAATTATGACTTAACATGTTGTAAATCCAGCAGCTCTGACCCCTCCTCCAGCATAGACTAATCCCATCATTTATCATAGATTAACTAATAGGGTTGCATGATACTGGAATTCAGTACCAATCAATACTGTCATTTTAAAAAACATTTCCTGCTAACATTTCAGCACTATTGAGCACATTCTTAAATACTGTTGATTTGTCATTGGGTTCACGTGCCCAACAGAAATGACTGTTGGCCCTGAAGTAGGGCTGGGCGATTTAGCAAAAAAAGAAATCTAGGTTTTTTATAAAGTTTGACCGATTCACGATTTCGATTTTTTTTTATTGTGTTACTACTCTTCTCAAAACATTACAACAACATGACTGAAGTAACATTCTCTTTAAAAGTAACTTGAAAACCCATCTGGTTAAGGAACATTGCATTTTTAATGGCCATGTCATATAAAAAATGGTCAAGGTGTAAATAAATATAAAACAAATTCACGAGTTAAATAGCGTTGCTGAAGATTTGAATAGGAAATATTTGTGTAAATATTGTACTTGCAGGAATACAGAGGTATTTTTTGCAAGTTTTGCTGAGTCTAGGAAAGATTGGCTGTCAGCTCGGCTTTGACTTTGTCTTCTGATTAATGACAGGTTGTAATGCTGCTGCCTTTTTCTTAAAAAGATACAGTGGAAAAAAAGGACTGAACATGGAAACTGTAAAGCCTAATTTAACCCAATGTGTAAAGTTGTGGACGTATAGCAGGAGCAAATACAAGCACCAGATGTGCGTCTAATATAAAATAATATATTTAATCTATTTTTCTTTTTCCCCCTTTTAAATACCGATCATTTGATGCGCTTTGCTCCACTCTCTGTATTATGCTGCCTGAACTGTCTGGTTTTCAACTAGGTCCGCTAAATGACGTCATGGGGGCGGGTACTTTCATTTTCACTGCTACAGTACCTCACCTCTGCTCGTGTTCAAACCAAAAGATCGGCGTGGTTTTTCCACATGGCAGGCTTTTACATCCTTCATACATGTTAAGATAGAGTTTATCGACTTGATGAGGGAATGTCTTGACAATCCACACAGACGTGCAACAAGTAAAATCCTACATGACTTCACGCTTTAACAGGCAGTCAAGCAGGTCGCACACCAGAAGCGCCGCGACACGGCGCCGGACATGACAGTTTAAACTATCACACACCAAACGCGCACATTCGCATGATATTTAACATGAAACTAATCAGAAGGCGCTCTGTGGGCCGGCTGAAATATGAACTGCTTCGTGAATTGTGGCTGGGCGGTGCCGGTGTGAGTATATAAACCTGTTTAGAATTCTAAAATCCATGACGCTGCATGCTGCTGCGCGTCGCCGAGAGGCGCTTCTGGTGTGCTTCCTGCTTCATACAGAGAGTGAACCAAAGCGCATTGGTGCCATTATAATGTATTATATATATTTTCTTTTAAAAATCACGATTTCTTGATTTGTTTCAAAATTAATCGTAAATTCGAATTAATCGAAAAAAAAAACAGAAAAATCGCCCAGCCCTACCCTGAAGGTCATCAGTTCACCAAACTCAATGCTGTTTACTGAGTGTAACCACAGATATATAGACACTGGAATATTTCAAAGTCTTGTCGATCAGCTGGTTTGTCTATAAGCTGACATATGAGTGATCCGTTGATGAATCGTGGCTTTAAAATGCTGCAGTGTGTCTGTATCTGTTATTGCACTCCATAAACAGTGGTGAGTTCAGTGAATTTATGACCTTCACAGCCAATCACAGTCATTTCTGTTGAGCACATGAAGCCAATGGAAAATCAACAGTTTAAGAACGTGCTCAATAGCGCTCAAATGTTAGCAGAAAATGGGCTTTTTTAAAATTTCAGTATCGATTGGTACTGACTTTCAGTATCGTGACTACCCCGTCAACTAATTCGACCATTATTAATATTTTTAACTCATTTTTGAAAGTCAGAATACCAAATATCTCACAATATAATTACATTTGTACAGGGACATTTGTCAATATTGGCAAAGAAGTTAAAAAATAAACAAAATCGGGTATATATGCATGTCATTGGAGTAGTGGTGTGTCACATGATAAACTTTATGCATCACCACGAAAGCATTAAAACGATTTGTTCTAAATAATGGTTACATTAAAAAAAACTCCCATTGGAATGAGCAGGAGTATTTAATAGGTAAATGTGAAAGGGTTAAACATGGTATGTAATCAAATTATTAGATAAACATACTTCAGTATTTTGGTAGATCCGTCGCCGAAAACGCAAACTATTCCCGTTCTCGTCAATCTCATAGTCTTCTTCATTCATCCACTCGTTATATGTATCCGTGTCGAGAACCCATCTGGAACTAACCTGAGGGGAAAAAAATTTAACGTTTTAATGTCATCAGGAAAAGCTAATCTCAATTGTTTAATGATCCGTTTTGGAGGATCATGGGAAATCAAAGTATTGTTTTTAAAAGTATTATATCACCTTCAAGCATCTGTCAGGGTTAGGAGGTTCCTCAACATCTGCATCTACATCACTTGCTGATATAAGCGAATCATAACTAAAAAAATTAAATATGGAAAGCATATACAATCATTAGAACACAAAGCAAAATGCCGCAATTTACAATGCAAACATTTAGTGCGTGAGAAAATGTTTGTGCAATCCTTCACTACCTGTCTGGACACATGCCCCAGTGCACCATCACTTGCTGATCCAATCGCATGACTGGTCTAAACCACTCTTCTGAAAACCACCCAAAAAATAAAGAGAAATCATTTTTACATATACATTACTATGCCGAACTAACTTACAAAATAATTTACATGCTGCCTGCACAAACAGAAGAAACAGAAGACACACCTTCATCTGTTGTGGATGATGGGTAAATCTGGTGAGTTGCTAGTGACTTGTCCTCTGTCACTGTGCCCTGAAAAAGTCATGTGTATTTGTTATAAAATTGAAGTCAGAATTATTAACTCTTCTTAGTTATTAGCTCCCTGTTTATTTTATCCACAATTTCTTTAACGGAGAGAAGATTTTTTTCAGCACATTTCTAAACATAATTATTTTAATTACATATTTCTAATAACTGATTTATTTTATCTTTGCCATGATGACAGTAAATAATATTTTACTAGATATTTTTCAAAACACTTCTATACAGCTTGAATGCTTAACTAGGTTAATTAAGTTATACAAGATCCGTTATCTTGCACATAATAACCATTTTGAACAATTCTTAAAAAATGTATTCTTACTTTGTCCAAGAGAAAAGGTCAATTTCCTTCTTTACACACAAACACACTCACTAGCCACTTTATTAGGTACACCTGTCTAACTGCTTGTTAATGCAAATTTTTAATCAACCAATAACATGGCAGCATCTCAATGCATTTAGGCATGTAGACATGGTCAAGACAATCGGCTGCTAATCAAACCCAGCATCAGAATGGAGAAGAAAGGTGATTTAAGTGGCATGGTTATTGGTGCCAGACAGGCTGGTCTGAGTATTTTAGAAACTGCTGATCTGGTGACATTTTCACACACAGCCATCTCTAAAGTTTAAAGAGAATGGTCCGAAACAGATAAAATATCCAGGAAGCGGCAGTTCTGTTGGTGCAAATGTCTTGTTGATGCCAGAGGTCAGAGGAGAATGGCCAGACTGGTCAAATAACCACTTGTTACAAACAAAGTATGCAAAAGAGCATCTCTGAATGCTCAACATGTCGAACCTTAAGACTGAAGGGCTACAGCAGCAGAAGACCACACCTGGCAGGCAACTCCTGTCAGCTAAGAACAGCAAACTGAGGTTACAATTTGCACAGGCTCACCAAACTTGGACAATAAAAGATTGGAAAAAAATTGCCTGGTCTGATAAGTCTTGATTTCTGTTGCAACATTCAGATGGAAGGGTCAGAATTTGGCATCAACAACATAAAAGCATGGATCCATCCTGCCTTGTATCAATGGTTCAGACTGGTGGTGGTGTGTAATGATATGGGGATGTTTTCTTGGCACACTTTGGGCCTTTAAGTACCACTTGGCATTGTTGCTGACTATGTCCATCCCTTCATGACTACAGAATACCATCTTCTGATGGCTACTTCCAGCAGGATAATGGACCATGCCATAAAATGCAAATAATCTCAGACTGGTTTCTTCAACATGACAAGAAGTGCACTCTTCTCAAATGGCCCCCATTTTCACCAGATTCCAAAGGTGCTCTATTAGATTGAGATGTGGTGGAATGGGAGATTTGCATCATGGGTGTGCAGCTGTCAAATCTCCAGCAACTGCATGATGCCCTCATGTCAATATGGACCAAAATCTCTGAGGAATATTTTCAGTACCTTGCTGAATCTATGCCACAATGGATGAAAGCAGTTCTGAAGGGGGTCTAACCGGGTACAAGTAAGGTGTACCAAATAAAGTGGCCAGTAATTGTAATAATACAAAATAAACAATAATAACTTTTAAGTAACTTTTAATAAACAATATAACTTTTAAGGGGATATTTGAACTTATATTAGATTTTTGAAATAATTAAAATCTAATATAAAATGTCACACCTATTGCTAAATATTACGATTCTTTTAACTAGTACATGTAACTTAAATTAAAATATCTCTAAATACCCATCACTACTGTCTAGTCAGTATTTTTTTTATTTTATTTTTTACTTACATTGTGTCGCAGGATGATGTCTTTAAGTTTAGAAGTTTGCTTTTGTTCCAGATCCGGGGAAAGGTACACCACAGGTCTGCTTAATAAGTTATTCTAACACAAACACAGAAGACAAATGTCAGATACTGCACCACACACAGATTTGCTCATGATGTTTGTCTTAGCTAAAGATCCAAACACAAATACCTGCATCAGCGTTTTCTCCACACAGCCCAGCATCTCTGTATTGCGATCCAGTCTGGATGGATTCTGCAGATCGAAGCGCCTCCTTTAAAAAAAAAAAACACACATACACAGAGTATGAGATAAAAGAGACATCATATTTATTGAAAGCTTAAATTTATTATTAGTGAGGGCTAGTGTGTTGACCAAAATATTGCATCTCTGTAAAACTGACATTAATATCTTAATATCAAATGTAAAAACATTCACATATACTATTGCATGCATTAACTTAAAATCAAAGGTGAAAGCAAAGACACCCTTACAAAAGTTTAACATTTCAGATACAGTGCTCGGCACAATTGAGTACATCCTATTTTAAAAATGAATATTTTGATCCATTTCTCGGTGAATATAGGCAATGTATTTTGGTGCATTTACACAGAACAGATTTATTAAATAGATATATTTAATAAAATAATATTTTAGTCAAAAAACTTATTTAGAAATTGAAAGATAATACAATTAAATTTAACAATTAAAAAAACATTTTTTCCCCTATAACATATACATTTGGGTATACAAGTTTTTGGACCGCCATAAGAAGTTATTTTGTTAGATAAGCTCCAGATTTGGCTTCAGTACTGACTAATCTAATGTACATGCACACATATAATATTGTACAGCTTCCTATTAAAATATGAATTTAAAAGATAGATTTGTGAGGGATGTGCTTATATATGCTGAGCACTGTATATGCTGCATTTTGAAAATTAGTTCAAAGCAAAAACATGGATGACAACTTAACACAATTTACATAAACATATTAAGAACAACACAACTGTTTTCAACACTGCAAAATCTGATAATTAGAATAATTCCTGAAAACTAAAATAACAACTGCAAAAAAATAAAAAATAAAATAAATAAAAAATCTGATGTTTTGCTCAGATTTGCTTTTATTTAATTTTGGGGGTGGTGCCAATTTTAGATCCAAGTGTGAACTGATCAAATGTTTTTAGTGATATAATATTCCTTCAATGAAGCATTATCCACATTTACATTTGTAATAAGACATGTTATACTGCTGGATTAGTGTTTAATGCAAGTTTATGCATCGCACATATTTTAATATTTCATCCACAACACATAACTCAAATACAGGAATCAGAGAGTGATATTCAGAGAGTGATTAGCTTTTAAGACATTTTTTAAGACCGGCAAGATTTTTTTTTTTTTAATCTTCCCAGTGTTTCAACTGGAATTGAGATTTTAACTTACAGTATGTTTACTAAATATTCATGTAAGAAACAAATGTAAAACTAAAACATTATTCATATCCTGAATAAAAATCTATTAAATCTAGCTAAATTAGCAGGTTGGTGCCTATAGAACTGCAGAAATAATGGTGTTGCCTTGATTACTGCAATAAACAAAGCAGCATGATGTCAAATCTAGCAAGATTTTATTGATTTCATAAACTACACAGCATCCTGATATTTACAGATGTAATTTAGGCACACTTTAGCATACAACTATACAATGTATTATCAAAAATTATATAAAATGTAATACATTGCATAATAGCAATTACGACTTTTTAAGGACCTTAAATTTCTCTACATTGATTTATCAACTTTTAATATTTTTAAGACCCTGCGGACACCCCGCATGAAGACTAGCTTTTAATGTGAACATCTTCTACACTTTAGTTTAAATCATTGTCATTTCAGAGGCATATACTCAGATATTTTTTGCCAACTGAAAAGTGGTTATTTTGCATGTGTATATTCCAGAGCTTAGAATGCTTTGTGCGCGCACATATGCATGTGATAAAGAGAGAACTGCTGAGTAAGAGCAGAGCTCATTAACATTCATCACCATTCCAAATATGATCAAACAAAACTTTCCATTGGGGTCATATCTGTAATTTTTAAATAAGGTTATAAAACCTTTTGATTTTTTTTTTTACTTCCTAAGTCACATATATGCTATGTAGTCATCAGAGACTAATTTAACATTTTGTAAAGACTGTCAAGACGAAATAATTTGTTGATCATTTTAATTAAATTATATTATGAAGATACTGCTTACCAGTGCAGCCTGTCTCTTTCCTGCCCTCAGTGATGCAAACGTGAAAATAAACGTGTAAAAAAATAAAAACATATTAACTGTCATTTTAACGTAATCAATTTATTTATTTTTGTCGTTTTTTCTTCATCTGAACACATTTAACTATGTCATAACTGCAATATTTACATTTCTCCTTAAAAGCTATAGCATGTGACTGTATGGGCTGCTTTTCGCTGTACTTTGTGACAAAAAAAGAATATTGAATGTTGTTCTGTGTCCATGATGGAACTTGCAGGCATATAGACTTGTCCCTCATGTCTCATTTCTGTCATATGTTACTAAGGTAAGCGGGCTGTATAAACGCGAGCGATACACTTATTTTAATACGTCTTATCATAATACTATGTAGGCACATTTATATTTTACAGGTCTAAAACTTTGAGAACAACCGTAAAGCATAACAAAATGTATTTCCCACGTAAAAAAAACTATCCAAAAGGTACGTAGGTCTATGTGTTTTTGCTGATTTTTTTTGTTTATAATATATAGCGTGGATTATAATATAATAAACCGAGAGAGTATATCTTTGTCATGGACCACATTTCTAAAAATAAGCTTGAAAAGTTGTCTGTACCAGGGTGGTACGGACATCACAGGCGAGCCCCCTGAAGGCACTGTAATCCTTTTATAGCCTAGTGTTAGCTTTTTCAATTCTTGCATTTAAGATCCAAAAGTGCTAAAAGTTGTATTTTTGTGTGAGGATTACATGTAAGTGTAATGAACCTATGGGAAAATCCTACAGAGATTCATATCGAGGGAACCAATTTTATGCTAGCAGCCGATTAGCCTACAAGGCGACGTCATAGTTCATGCACTGTATTCTGAAATAATAATACCAACCAGCCCTGTTCGGTCTTAAACTTGTACACTGATCCCAGTATGTGGCAGAGAGCACCTCCTGGCCTCAGGTCCTGAAAACACTTGGCCTATAAAGACAAAGAAACAGAGTTGAAAACAAATCCATGCTAATTACTTATTCTGTAAATCTGTTGTGCTTACTATATTACTATATTGACTCATTGGATAAATGTGCATATCTAAACTTGTCAGAGAAAGATAAGGTAAAATAATGACTCACGGGAAGTTTTGTAAAGTTTGGCTTATTTGCTCGACGACCAAAAGAATCTTCCTGAAACTGCAGAAGTTGGATGACCAGACCAGTTAGAGACTTGCATGAGGGAGCATCAGACTGCACATTCTTGGAGGGGAAAAACAACAACAAAATAATATTTATGGAAACTGGATATAGAGCTGCAACAGAACAATTTTCACAGAGGGACAAGTGTTGAAGTGCTTTCACTAAAGTTGTGTACACAGAGAAATATATTATACATTCAATGAATTAAGGTATGTGTTCCCTACACAGTAGATAACTTGGTGGAAAGGTATGACATGCCGCTATGAGGGGGGTGTGTCAATGAGGTCATGTAAACAAACACCTCTGACCACAAATTAGTTTTTGCAGACACAAAGTTGCTAGCACGCTGCTAACATAATCATCATCGTCATTTAAATGTCTAACGTTAGCGTTTTGGAGAACCACAAATATGTTTTACTGAATCAAATGGTAAAGTTGTGGCGTCTAATATAACGTTAAACAGAAGTTTGTTGCCAACATAAACCCAGGATGGGGATAGTCACTTCTGTCCTGTCAATTGCGTTGAGAAGGTACTCTGTTCATTTCACAACAGTTCATTTCTTTATTATTTTGGTCACACAAACAAAATACAGCCATATAAAATGATATTTTGCAGCCCAATACGTTAACGCTGGACAGAAAGTGGCAGATAAACAAAAGAAAATCTCAGGTAACCACATCATTTATGGGTTGCTCTTGCTAGCTCTCTGACCTTTTTATAATGCTTCCCGATCCAACTGCGAACCGTTTCCATCTGAGACATTATTTCCGGGTTCTCCCAGTATTTACAGCATGGTCCACCGTCCATTTTTCGGCTTATTGAGGTGCTACAACTGACTTGACTTGTCGTAAGTCCCGCTGCAGCCGATCCTTGCGTTTGTGCGGCCATTGTTTCATGCTAATTAGCCTCCGCTACCCAGAAGAACTGAAGACTCCACAGCTCCTCTAGCGGTTAGACCGAAAAAGGCGCCAACGGCACCTCTACTGCATACTTGATACGAGTACAGTAGGCTACACACAGTACATAGTATATGCTGTGTACCAGAACCACAGGCAATTAAATACAATTGATTAATTAGTCAAATAAAACGTTTATTTGAATTTGAAACACATTTTTACATTAAATTCGTGCGCGCGTGAGTATATGCTTACATTCAGACATAACGGATTAAATTATGTTTAATTGCTGTGCTAAAAGCTGCGAATGAACAGCTTCATATCGCATTTTTCAACCTATTCATTCAAAAAACCGTGCATGACGACTGCTGTGTCATCTTTTTAAACACTTGATAATCGCTGAACAGTTTTAAAGGTTAATATTTTTACTTTTAGAAATATATATTTTACAACAACATTCAATAAACCCACGGCGTGCGACAAAACGCCGAGTGTAAACCATAGACTGTAAAAGGTGTGAACTAGTTTTTAAAAAAACCCTAATTCTCTACTGAAGGTTGGGCTAATGAATGGCGCATGCTCAGTGCGAATAGGGAGTGCTGGAGACAGCCAACAGTGCAGCGAAAGGCAAGACGGGTGAAAAAGAGAAGCCCGTCTTGCTTTCGAAAAGGGAAAAATATACGCTAACGGAGCTTCGTCGTATGTTTTCGCTTCACACCCGGCCATGCTAACAACACAGCGATGTATTATTACTGCAATCGGAATAAAATGAGCACTAGTGCAGTCGGGCCTGGAGTGGAGAGTTGTGGGGCCGGGTGTCCGCATAGCGCCAGCCGCTGCTGCGGGGGAGGAGGCTGCGGTGAGACCGTCAGTGGTGACGGAAGCTCGGCCGCTGCGGCTACAGCCACCAGCGCTGCCCCAGTGCAGAGCTCAGACCGGGAGAGCAGCGTAGCCGAGGCCCAGGCGTTCCGCGAATGGGACTGTGCCACCTCCGTCGATGCGGATCTGGCCCAGAAAATGAACGAGGAGGGATTTTTCACCAACGGCGCTGCTTATATTACACGGGAGGGAGACGAGTGTGCGGATTCGGGGGAATACGACGGAGGACGCGGGCGTTTTTGTAGACAAAGCGCTGGTGCAAGCGAGGATAACAGCATTAATATTGATCACAATGGAGCTGGTTTGCGGTGTTTCATGAGCGCAACCACACGGAGGGACGAACGCAGAGCGAGCGCGAGACTGCCGCCGGTGCGAACAGCAAGAGTCCGACGAGGATACGCGGTGCACACCGGGACCGAGCGCGCGATGATGACAGCCGCTGCAAGGTGTGGTCACGGGCACTCCGAGCCCGCGGTCATCAAGCGTCGGGGATGCAGTTTCAACCGAACCTCCAAGAGGGTGTGTTTCTCGGGAACGTATTGCGGCAGCTCTGATGCCGCGGCCCGCGTTGGTTTCAACGGTGAAGCTCCCGAGAAGGGCTCTTCGAGCACTGCCGAGACTGTCAGGCGAACGTCCTCACGTCGCATCCAATGCGAGAACACGACTGGAGCTCAGAAAATGACTTTCGCATCGTGCGTGCCCGAAGAAAATACCAAGCTGCCCACATGCAGGACGGCGAAGGGGCGCGTCAGACTGTATAGGGTGCGCTCCTTTCTTGCCAGCTCTGCCAACCATAACAACGGGGTCAGCGGAAACGGTGCCCCTCACGATAGCCTCACACAGCAACTTTCTCTCCAGGCCCCTGAACCCGAGTATGACCCGCGTGATTGCATTAAAAAGACTCTGTCTGCCCACTTCATTAGATTCTCTCAGTCCGAGAGTGGGCCTCCTAATGGGACAGAGCCAGAACCACAGACGTGTGAGAGTGCAGGTGTGGGCATTGATGCAGAGAGGACTGAGGGGCCCAGCACGGAGCATATAGAGGCGGTGAGGGGTGAAGCCGAACGCAGGCAGGCAGAGCTAGAGGGTCGTACTGACCACCTCTGGAGGCGCCTGCAGGCCGTACAGGTGAAGCAAGTGGAGAGGCATGTGAAGCAGCAACTGAGTGGCCTATACAGGAGACCGGGGTTGAGCTGCACCAGGAGGCCTAGTGCTGTTTCCAGAAAGTCGACTGAGCTGAGCAGGCTCGCGCGCAGCTGTAGCGAGATCCTCCGGACTGCGGAAAGCGCTCTGGACTCGGACCACACAGCCAGCAGCTCTGGAGGAGGCAGCGACATCGAGGAAGACGAGGGATTGGAGAGAGGAGGA